GCCTCCGCCGGGCTCCTGGCAGGCGATGAATGGCCCTTCCCTCCGCTTCCCTTGCCCTTGGTGACCGCTCCTCACCCCGCTCCTGGCTTGCCCAGGCTCCCTGTCTAATTACCGTGTCTAATAGCCCGGTTCAGCCGGGGCTGGGCTTCAGCCCAGGTGGTGGCTTGGCCGTAGAGGTAAATCTCCTCCTCGAAGCTGGTTGTAACCAATTTGATCAATGACAGCAAAGCTGTGGTGTGGATCCCAGCCAGCCATTCACCCTTTAATTCCCCAGATGACTTTCATTCAGAAGATATGCTCTGTAATGTGTTGGGCAATGCTTTAAAAAACACACCGAAGCTCACCACAAAGTGGAGTTTGTTTTAAATATAGAAAAGCTTTTGAAAAGTGTTTCCCAGTTAGAACAATAGAAAGCTTTTATTATTTTAACATTTTGGCCCATGACTGAAATAACTGAGGTGTCAATATTCTGGGTAAACGTGACTTGTGCTGGGTTTTGCTCTGGGATGTTGAGCTTGTACAAATGTGATCCTGTGCCGGGGGCTGCCTCAGCACTGGCTGTGTGGCGGTGAGGGGACAGGGACGAGGCATCCCCACCCTGCTCTGAGCTCATCTGTTTGATGTGTTGCATCACATATGCTCATATTTGCTCGTATCAGCAGAGATCACGTAACACAAACACTGTGCCACTGCCCTCACCTCCCGGATGCTGAAGGGAGGTGTCCCAAAACCTTGCCTTGTTTTAGGCTTTCTCCAGCTTCTTTGCCATAGTTGTCTGCTGGAGACAATGTCCACTTTCCCCTGTATCTTCACTGGGCAGTCTGTGGCTCCTGATCTCTGTGTAGCACCCAAACTCTGCTCCCCTCAGCACCTTGGGCTGGTTCCTGACTAATCGGAACCCTTAGGGATGGGAGGGGGCAAACCAAGGCTCATGTTTGGCCATCCAGCGCAGTAATTGTTAATTACTGGAACCACGACCTCTGAGGAGGTGTTCCAAGAAGAGTTTGTCTTTGTACAGCTCCTGGATCTCCTTCATCTGAGCTCTCCAGGTGGCTTTTGGCCATGTGCTGTGTTGGCTACTAAAAAAACCCAACCCTGGCTTTGCAGCTGTTAAACATACACTGACTCACTCTTAAGTCAATTGACATAACAAGACTTGTTATCTGGATGCCAGATAAAATATTTCCTGCATCGTTCTGTCTCTGTAACACTCAGAAATCTGTATAATGGTGTTCTTTCTTGCTCTTCCATGGTATTATCATCAGCAGGAATACTTAGCATAATAGCTTTAGAGCAATTAGTGATTATATGTTGGCCTCAAAGTTTTTAAGTTTCAGTTTAGTTCACCTTCAGTGGGATTTAAGAAGCCAAATGCTGACATGTTTAATTTGTCATTCATCAGATAATAAATGTTCACAAACTGGAAAAGAACAGAGAATAATCAGAAGGCACTTCAATTTTAATATCTGTTTGGGGGATTTTAGTGTCATTTACATACATATATAGAAATATTCATGAGCATGGTATGTTTTTGTTAATTAATTTCAATGGGATTCCTCATATGACTGTGTGGGCTGTAAGTATTTCCAGAAGTCTTTCCAGAAGTGAGGCTATAGTTGTTTTTAAAAAAAGAATATAAAATGAGTTGAAAATACTCTCGAGGGTTGGGCTGTTTTCCTCTGTTAGCTGACATGTTAAATTATGCAGCATTTATAAACCCTTCTCTCTGGCAGGTTTTGGAGATCATATTCATTGGAGAACACTGGAAGATGGGAAGAAAGAGGCAGCAGCCAGGTATGTTCATTAGTTTTAAATACAGAAATGTGTCTTCAGAAGCATTCACAGTGGTTCTATTTCAGCCCTAAATTTAACCACAGAAAAGATTCTCTTTTAACAAAAATGAGGGTGGTTTAGGAGACTCTTCAGATCCCTACAGGTTATTGGAGAGAAAATACAGAGTTTTGTTAAGTTTGCTAAGGCACCACTTAGGTTTAATTACTGCAGTCTAATTAAGTGATTGAAGCCCTAGCATGTCTTTGAAACAAGAAAATAATTATTTATCGCAGTAAAGAAAGATATGGTTCTCAAACACACAAATGCAAGTGTAAGTGATGCTCAGTGCCCTTAAACTCAGCAGTGCTAAGAGTTCCCAAAAATTCCTTGTGCCTGTATAGATGAGGCCTCAGCATGAGGTATTTTGTTTCCATCTGCAGCAAAAATCTGCAAGTTTCAAATTGTAGTGAAGTGACAAAACCTGGTTTGGACTAAGCTTAAATTCTAAAAAGAGCAATGTCTCTATGAAAAATGACATCTTGACTTTCTTTTCTCCGAGTTTCTTCTGCTTCTTGTTAAAATCCAAGAAGAAGAATGGCATGCTTATAAATTCTACTTGCATTTTAACTTTATAACCCAGATCTGACAATGCTGACATGAGCAGAAATTACTCATGCCTTCCAGGTTTGCTGTTTAATTTAGCTCTGCTCTCAAACTGATCCATCTGGCATGTTCTACACTCCAGTGCAGACATTGAATTAACCCAGATGGTACACTTCAGAAGTCTTACAAGTTTTTATAACTTGATACATTGGCTTTTTTGAAAAAAAAAAAAAAAAAAAAAAAGTAGATTATTTCAGTTTTTAGAGTTATAATTGTAGCAGCAGCAGAGGAAGCTTTAAAATGAGACAGAAGAGGGTGGGAGGGATGGCAAGGTCTGACCTCTCAGGTTTGGGCAGGATTGGTGCTCGGCTCAAAAAGACCCTGCAGCAAGGGATGGGATGGGTGTGAACCACACTTTCTTTGCTGATGCACAGATCTGCTCGCTGATTTGAGCGCGGCAGCATTTCAGTGTTATTGAATTGAAGGCTTGGGAGAAACTACTAGTTGCAACGAAAATGTAAACGTAAAAAGTACAGGGGTTTTTCTCCGACCATAAATCAGGAGATGTAAAATTACTCAAAATTATCTGGAATGCATCAAATGAGATGCACCAGAGCCGGTGGTCTAGGAAGTTTCAGACCTTCAATTTCAATTCTGTAAACTCCACAATGTCACGGGATGCTGGGGACTTGCTGGGTTTAAGTTCCCTGAGGGCGAGGGCGCGGTCCCCTCCGTCCCAGCAGTTGCTGCGAAGGCGTTTTTGAGCGGGACGCCTCGCAGGGCGGTGTAGCGGTGCAGAGCCGTGCCGGGGCGCGGCGATTCTCTCCGCCCGCGGGGAGGAGGAGCCCCGGGGTTGGCCGTGCGGGGCCGGGCGAGCTGTGGGGGTGTGTGTGTGCCCGTGCCCGTGCCCGGCGGAAGCAGTCGCTCCACGTCCGGGTCGGTTGGCGTGTCGGTGTCGGGGCGATGCCGCTGGTGGTGCTGTGCGGGCGGCCCGGCAGCGGCAAGAGCCGGCGGGCGGCCGAGCTGCGGGAGGCGCTGGGCGGCCCGGAGCGGGCGGCGCACGTCGTGGCCGAGGCGGAGGGCGGCCGGGCGGCGCTGCGGGCTGAGGTGGAGCGGCGGCTGAGCCGGCGGGACGTGGTGATCGTGGACGCGGGCAACGAGCTGCGGAGCATCCGCTACGAGCTGTACTGCGCGGCGCGGCAGGCGGGCACGGCGCGCTGCCTCCTGCACTGCGCCGGCGGCGCGGGCGGCCCCGACGAGCCGCCCTTCGAGGAGCCCGACCCGAGCTGCCGCTGGGACCGGCCGCTGTTCACGGTGCGCGGCGAGGAGCCGCTGCCGCTGGGCGCCATCCGCGCCGCGCTCTTCGAGAGCGCCCCGCCGCCGCCGCACCGCTCCACCCGCACGCAGCCGCTGCAGTCCTGCGGCTTCCTGCACCAGCTGGACCGCGTCACCCAGGACGTGCTGGCCGCCGTGCTGGCCGCGCAGAGGAGCGGGGCGCAGCCCGGAGAGACCGTCCGCGTCCCCGGCGTGGCCGAGGGGCTGGTGCTGAGCCGGCCCGTCAGCGTGGCTGAGCTGAGCCGCTTGCGGAGGCAGTTCATCAGCTACACCAAGATGCAGCCCAGCGATGAAAACCTGCCCCAGCTGGCCAGCATGTTCGTGCAATACCTGAACCGCAGCATCCAGTGAAGTGCCACCCAGCAGTGGGGCGGTCCGGCCCCCGAGTGCTCCAGCGGGGTGAATGTGCCTTGGGGCACAGACCTGCGGAGCGTGGGTCCCGCCTGTCGGGGATGCTCGGATCGCTGGGCAGCAGCAGCAGCAGCAGCTCGGGGAAGGTGGGCACCGTGTCCTGCAGCAGCCGAGCCAGCTGCATTGCTTGGGGATCTCCAGGGAAGCAGTTCCTCAGCCCTGCCTTCTCCCCACTGGCTTCTTTAAAAAGGGAGCTACTGCTGCGTCCCCAAGCAATGAAATCTCCTGTGGAGATGCAAACCCCAGTAATCGAATAGTGTGATGTGACAGTGTAAAAGATGATGACTGTAGGGAAGAATTTTCCCTCCACATTGGCATGTGTGTGTCTGGAATAAGAAGATTGTTTTTCTAGAGCTGCCACCAGAAAATGTCAAACTGCAGAAGAGACTTCAGGTCCAGAACTGGAACAGGCTGTATTTTTAGGATGTGACTGTTTCAAAAAAAATCTGACTCACCCAAGAGAGATTTTCAACTTTGCACTGCAAAAGGGTGCTGGCTTAACAGACTTAAACTTCTCTGTTTCAGGTTTAATAATAAAATTGTGCCTTAAATGGAGTAAAGTCTTAATTTACCTGCACGACTATTTTACTGAAAAACTTGGCCATGTCTTTTGTCTTCAAGGTCATTATACACCCTTAAAACCATCATTTTACACCCTTAAAAACACAAGTTGTTTAAGAATGAGTGCTGTCATAGGAAAAATGAGCTAAAATTACAGAAATAAATGTATTTATTTCTGTTCTGTGTGAAACTCATAAGTCTGTACTGGCTGTGATGGGTAGCTAAGTTTCCAATAATTTTGGGTACAGCTTATATAAACCTCTCACTTTCTGGTGGATGCTTCATTCTTCATTCTAATAAATGGTGGCTTTTGGTTTTAATTTTATGTGTAGTGCTCACTGGGATGAAATGGTGAAGTGGGGCAGGAAGAGTTATTTCAGTTACAGTGTCTGTCTGTCTGGCACACCAGCTGCTAAGGGGCTTTATGCACTGCAGAACTGAGAAATTACTACAAAATGTTTTTATATAAATAAGTTTACTTAACAAGTCAAAATAAAGAGAACAAAGCTGAGAAAACACATCAATTAACACAAACTTCTATGAGTTCTCACTGACTAAGACTTGGTATTTCAAGGAAGTGAGCACTTGCATTTAAAATCTGCTTTTAAAATTTCTCTTTAAAAAGTGTATGCCAGTGCTGACCACCGGACCATTGAACTCTTTCAACGTGAATCACTGATCCTTGATGATAAGAACAATCTTAAATCCTGTCTTAAATCAGCCTCTCCTCAAGAAATAAGCAAAAGAATTTTGGACTCTGTAGAAACAATGAAAAGAAGTCAGAGAGAGGGCACTGAGGCAGTGCAAGCTTTACTAGGGAAATGTGTATTCTTGCTCCTTACTGCAAACAGTTATAAAGTTGATGACATGTAGGTTAATTGTAGATGGCAAATTTGTGTTTAAACAATTCTAAATGTTAATGGCTTCATTTCCACCCTTTCCTCATTCTAAAGTTCATTGCTGAACCTTGTTAAGTAGAGATTTCCTTTCATGTCTATTTACATCTGAAGAAAAACTCATACATAGTTCTGCTAGTAATTAATGTTGTTGTGTGCAAAGGTGTTAATAATTCATGTGTATGAAAATTTGACTTTATTTTTATCCCCTAAATGGTGCAGAGTTTGCAGTCAGAGAAAGCTTACAGTTTGCTTTGCTTGGCATATCCTGAAAGAAGTATCCATATAGGATGTTCTCTCCAGATTCCTTCCTCTCCTCCACCTCATTTTAGGCTGTTCTTACTCTTCTGGAAGCCATATCATTATTGTATGGAAACAATCTCTGGGTACTGCAGCTAGAAAATGTAAAATGAATTCTTTTGAAAGAGTGAAATCAAAAATAACTTTGGTTCTTTTGCATTGCATTTTATTTATGCTGCAGTTCCTCACAGACCCCCTCTCCTTAGCCCTGGTACTGGACACATCTATCACAATTAGTTTCAGCATACAAATGTGTGGGAAGCCATGCAGGCAGCCAAAGGGTTTGCTGAGGTTTTGGGTTTGCTGGTTTGCTCAGTGAGACTTGGGCTGTAATGGGCAGAGATTGTCACCCACTGGATTGTCTTAAACAGTCAGAAAAATCCATCCTGAGATCTCTCAGGCATCTGCTGTCATTAACCATTGCCAGTAATCCAGGGGAAAAAAACATGCAGTTGTGCATCTGAGGAATCTAAACTAAGAAGAGAAAGTCTCCTCCTCTACACAAGCAGTTATTGGCTGGCAGCTATAATAAATTATCACATGTTTTAAGATTGGGAAAACTTTCTGCAAGACAATCGTAGAGCACTCCATAATCTCTTTATATCTTATTTCCCATTACATTTAGCCTTTGAGGAAGCCTTGACTATTAAACTGCACGTGTAATAGAATTTCTTTGACAGTTTTCTTTCTTCTTTTTTTTAGTGGTTTGCCTCTTATGGTTATCATCCACAAGTCCTGGTGTGGAGCTTGCAAAGGTAAGTGCATTGAATACTGGAGCTTGCTGAAATTTCTAATGAAATTGAACACTTTCTAATTGAAATTGTCTTTGTACAGACATCATGTAGCCATGAGAAATGTGAATTTTGCATCCAAAATGTAACTAATGATATTTGTATTTCATTGAGAGTGGAATAATATGGCAGTGTCATAGCAAACAAGCTGGGTGTATGGCTAAGCCTTAAAGGATGGGGTAGTTGAGTGGGAGTGGTGGTTTACAGCAGGATTTCTGTTTCTGTGGCACTGGATCAAATAGAACCACCTCTGTGTGTTGGGCAGGCTTCAGCCCATGGCTGCCAGGCAAGAATTGCTTCAGTTACCTCCTGTTCTGAGCCTGGAAGGGTTGGACACATACATTCCATTTACCCACTGCTTATTGAGAAGTGCCACCTCTCCAGAGGGAGGCATGAAGTGGAGATTTTGATATTGACCTGAAAATCTGAAATATTTTCCACTGCTTTTACATGCCTCTTATTTTTATTTTTTTTCTTTAGCTTTGAAGCCAAAGTTTGCTGAATCCAAGGAGATCTCTGAACTTGCCCATAATTTTGTTATGGTCAACCTTGAGGTAGGCTGCCTTCTGCTCTGTATCCATGTTCTGCCTAGTAATGAAGCATTTGGAATCTGACTCAACTGGTTGCATCCTGTTTTGTGTACATCCTAAATCCTGCACTCCTAAATAGGCATTCAGGATTGATTGATAGAGCTCATTGTTATAAAAAGACATTTTTCAGTCTGGTTATTTTAATTTTGTTTATAAACCTGGCTCTCTGCCATTTCCTCTTTAACAGTTTGTACCTTGTGTGATTCAGTTTCCACAAGAAAGGGATTTATGTTCATTCTCTCAGTACATATCAAATATTCCTGCACCAGAGTGGGATGAGTAATGCAGATTGATAGACCAGAAAAAATATTGTTTTTACAAATGATATTTATGTAGGTAAAAATAACTTTCTTCCCTTGGAGAGTGGAGGATTCTGCAGTTACTTAGCATCTCTTCAAGATGTAAATTGCTCAGGGTAGAAGGAATCTGAAGGCAGTAACTTGTTTCTGTAAAAGGCACCATGTTTGTTAGCTGTCTTGCTAATGGCTTTCCTCTCTCCTGCCTTGCTGTGGAAGGATGATGAAGAGCCAAAGGATGAAGCCTTTAGTCCTGATGGGGGTTACATTCCCAGAATCCTTTTCATGGGTAAGGCATCCACAGCTGTTGTGCCCATTCACAGCACTGGGTTCTTACTGTTTCCATCTAAATTTCCTGTTGCATTTCTTATTTCACAGACCCCAGTGGAAAGGTCCATCCAGAAATCATAAATGAGAGAGGAAACCCCAGCTACAAGTATTTCTATACCAACGCTGATCAAGGTATGTGCTGAATCGTTTAAAGTACATTTTTAATGAGATGAAGCTTTGGCAATGGAGGGAAATTATGTTAATTTAAAGTGTAACTGGGAGTGGTTAAATACAGTGTGAGTGATTCTCTGATACCTCAGTAACCATATTCAGAATCAAGACTCACCTTAATACCTACTAAAAGTCTCTAGGACTTAATTTTGTCTCCAGTTCAGGCATGGGAAATCATGGAAATTGCATGATCCAGCCACACATAGTTGGGGTAAGGGTGCAGGACTGTTTTTTCCTTACAGATTAATCTGTAGATCTACATTCTGTAACTGTGTTGTTTTAAATCACTTTCATTACCAGTTCACCTTGATGTTTTCACCCTGAGATTAATGGTTGGTATCTCTCTGTGTAATCTTTCAGTTGTCCAAGGGATGAAGGAGGCCCAGGAGAAGCTGACAGGCGATGCTTTCAAACAAAAGCACCTGGGAGATGAACTATAATGAATACACTGAATTTACCTTTTCATCACTTCAAAACTGAGAGGAAATGATTAAACAGACTAAGAATGTAGATGCACTGAAGGGACATAATTCCCCTGTCAGCAATGTTAGGTTAAAAACCCTGTTTGGAGTTCACACACACACACACACACACACACACACACACACACACAACAGTTACAGTGTTTTCTCTGCCTGGCAGTTGGCACTGTGGTGGTTCTTTACAACTGGATAATGTGCAAACACATCTCTCTGTGTGTTTGAGAAGCCACTAATATTTGGTGTTAAAAGGGAGGTGTGTAGGGAAGACAGAATTTGAGGACAATGTGATGGGAAAAACTAGAAGTAGCCATCATTTTGACACTAATCAGGGTTGAATCTCTCTTTTCTCACTGGTATTATGTGATCCCATAGTTTTTACTGGGCATTCCCATCACTGGGGCATGTTCCTGGGCCAGTTGTTTTCTAGCTATCCAAAACCATGAATTCTGCCACTACACCAAGTAGAATACATTTCATGAATGTCCAAATAGCATGTGAATTATCAGCTCTGCAAATGTATTATTGTGTAAAACTGTGTGATTCATCTTTATTTGCCTTTGGGCAGAAATGTAACTTTTTCCTTATGCACTCACCTTTTGATTGTTCCATCAAGTGAGGGTGGGTTGTGTTGAAGCTTTATGGGGTTTCCCCTTTTATTCTTTGAATGTTTTTGGCGAATGCCTTGCCATCACATTGTACTGTATTTTTGTACCAGGGTGAAAAAATTAAACCTTTTTAAAAATAAGCATGCAGAGAGTGGTTTGTGGTTAAGGGTGTAGCTTTATGTTCTTAAGCATGGGGGATATGTTTGGTTTGTTTGATTTTGTTTGTTTTTGTTTGTTTGTTTTGTTTGGTTTTGTTTGGTTTGTTTGTGTTGCAGTGGTTATTAATGTTGACTGTCACAGCTGAAGGTTTCTCCTTTTTTGTAATTAAAATACATCATTTGTTTTCCCATACAATTACAATTCACCATTCTTACTGTACCCCCACTGTTGAAGGCAATGTGTTTATTTACTGGAACTGAAGAGAAGAATAGCAGGGAGTAAAATCACCCCTCCTGACCTGCTGGGGACACTTTTCTAATGCAGCCCAGCTTGCTGTGGGCTCCTTTGTCACATGAGTGCATTGCTGGCCATGATCAGCTGTTCTCCACCTGGATTCCCATATTCTCCTGTGCAGCAAAACAGATTTCCAGACTTTCTTGTTTCCAGTTGAAGGGCTTTGGATTTCCCTTTCTTGAACCTCCTGACAACGCTCTCTGCCCATTTCTCCAGCCTCTTCAGGTCCCCAGTGGCAGCACAACCTCTGTTACATAGAGATCAGCCCCTCTCCCCAGCTTTGTATCATCTGCCAGTTTGCTCTGGGCTGGGTGTTAAAAAGTACCAACCAAGGGTACCCCACTAATGCTGAGCCCCCTTCAGGCCAGCTCTTCTGCCAGTTTTCCATCCAATTCACTGCCCTTTTGTTTAGGTTGTACTTCATCAGTTGCTCTATGGGAATGCTTTGGGAGACAGTATTGAAGGCCATAGTAAAGCCAAAATAAACACCACCTACTGCTCTCCCCTCAGCCACCAAATTAGTCACCTCAAGCAAAAATTCCTGTCCAAAAGACACTTGCCATAACTTCCCATAACAAATGCAATAATTTTCTACAGATACTTACTGAGGAGCTATCTGAAGACATAAGGTGGGGAAAATTCTTTAGAGAATAAACCCAACTTGTATACTGAATCAATTTTTACTGTTCAGCAGCATTAGGAATTCTACTTTCCAGACCAGTCTGTCTAAGAAATTTTAAGCACCAAAACTTAACTGGGTACTAAAACACAAGGACTCAGTGGAATTAATGGAATTATTGCACATTGCAATTACCCTGCTCAGCTGCTAATAGTTACTCTACAGGCTTTATCCTCTGCTTCTCTTGCAAATTGTTTAGTAAATTAGCAATGGAATTGAACTCAGCAGCTACTCTCAAGTCATATCAACCTCAAAGTAAATCTATATAAGCCTTAAAAAAGGATTTGTGTTGTGCAAAATATTCTCTTTTTTCCCCCAGTTCTATCCATTGAGCAAATAAAAAATAGATCCTATCTGATGCTTATTTTATTTAGAGCTTTAGATTGACATAACTAAAAAATCATTGCTATGGCTTTTTTACTTGCCAGCAGGGGGAGGACTCTGCGTGTTCATCTGGGAAAGGATTCAACAAATCATAATTAAAAAGCAATCTCTGATGCAAATTAGCAGGGTGCACCTCTGTGAATTTCCATGCACGACTTTGCAGCAGCTCTGCCCTGCTCTTATCTCTCAGTGAAGCTGCAGCCTGTGGGATGATGTGCATGAAGTGTTCCTTTCTTTGCAAAATGCTCTGATGCCTGAAGCAATGTGGCCTCAAAGTAGTTTTTAGAAAGTTCTTCATCCACAGACATCTCCCTTCAGTGGCAGGGGCGAGCAGTGTGCTTCATTCTTTACATTTAAGACCACCCTGATTCAAAATTATCCTCCTTCACATCTTCTCTGGCACAGCTCCTCTCCTTAGCCCTTCATGCTTTCCAGACTTGGTACTTTGGAAGGAAGAACTTATTTCATGACCCTTTTCCTTTGTCCTCCAGCTGCCTCCTTTCTCTGTAATCCTTTCTACCCTCTGTATGTTCAGTCACGGTGAGCTGGTACAGCTTCCCCACCCTCTCTTCCATTTGCTCTTTTCTAGAGCACACTTTTGTCCCCTGTAGCAGGATGGAGTTTGGCTCTTGCTGCCCTGCTTGGTGTCTAGCTGGGGTCTCAGCAGAATATGATTCATGTGCTTTCACAGTTTGATTTCTAGGGACAGCCGGTTACCTTGTGTAAAAGCTGTTTTCACATCTCTGGATTACAGGGCAAACCTACTTTTGATGTTAAGTCACTTAAGTATTTTTCTCTTTTCTACCTGTTAGTTTTATACCTGGATATTTTTGTTACTATCTCCTTTACATCCTGCTTCTTCATGATCTTGATAAGATGGTACAGATGGTTGGCATTGTCTTCTGTGCAGAGGGATCCACCCAGCAATTGCTTTTTGTATGATGTGTGAGTTTATACACAAACAAGTCCCCAGGGCTTAGAGGCTTGCAGGTCAGTGTTTCCTGTAGCTGTGTTTGAAGTTAATGACACTGCAGCACTGCTCAGAAACCAAGACCTCAGCTTAGTTTGCCTCCATCACCTTTGTTTCTTGTGCTGCCCATCTGTGTGTGACTTGCAGTAACTTACATGATCAGTTGTTCAGATGCATTTAGAAATCCCCTTGGATTCTCAGCTTTTCCTCCTTCTATGGTGATAAAAAACCCCAAGACACTTCAAAATTCTTAGTACAGACCCAGCAAATTGCCAGACTGAATTAATCTCTTGTAAATAAACATGCTGTCAGTTCTCTTTTGTACAGAAACAACCTGCAGAGGAAAAACATCCCAAAGTTAATTAGGGAGTGCCTGGATTGCAGCTCCCATCTGGCTGCCTGGGAGCAGAGGTTGCTTTGTGCACCTGAGGCTGGACAGACTTTAAGGAAATTTCAGCTGGAGACTTGGGAAACCTCTCCTTTGCTGTGTTAAGCAGCAGGGAACAAAACTGCAACAACCAAGAATGCCTGCATGGCCAGAGTGTCCCATCTGTCATCCTGGCATGCTGAGTTTGGGAGTCATCTACTTCAAACACACTTTTGTCCCCGTGGCTGTCTGCCTGCCACCGTGTCTAGCCTGTATCAAACTGCTAATGAGCTTCAGAGCTCGTGTAGAGCTCCTGTAATAAATAGCTCTGAAGTGAAATATTATTAAACCCCGATGAATATGAGGTCATATTGGAGGTAATGAAACTTCTCTTAACTTTTGTTAAGAGGAGAGGTATTTGCATTTATGTTATGCTGTGATATTTATTTGCAGCTGACCTGGTATTTTTTATACCTGCTTGGGTTTGCCCAGCCAGGAGAACACTCCAGGGCTACTCCTTGACAACCGTCGCTATCGGTGGCTCCAAACTTGAGGCCCGAGGATAGAGATTCAGAAAGCAATAAAGATGGAATTACTCTGAGCAGAGCTCTCTCCAGAGAGTGGGATGAAAAGGGGAAGTCACTGCAAATCCATGCTCATTTCACAGACAGCAAAGCCAAAGATGGGGTTTCTCTAAAAGGTTGCATCCCCTTCCCAGACAGCTGTGTAAGTTGTCTTTGGCACTGGCTGGAGAGGGAAGGTTGCTGCCTGGAGGAAATCAGGAAACAATAATGAAGGTCTGTCTAAATGTTAGAAGTCACTTTGTCTCAAAACTATTTGGCATATTAACCCATTCCCCCTTCCCTCCTTGAAGAAACAGGTGCTGATTTGTTAAGCAGTTAGTCAAATAATCTCAGTTTGCTTTTCCCCTCAAGGTTTGTCTAGAGCAAGGTGTGGCTGTGCACAGTTCCCAGGCCTGCCATTGTCCAGGGAGCACCACTCCTGCCTCTGCAGCACCAATCTGGTGCCACCACGTCAGCACCCTCCAAGGAGGAGGAATCTTCAGTGACAAGTGCCAAGCCAGCCCCTGTGACCTGTCACAGGCAGTGGCAACAGGAACCAAAGCTTTAGTGACCCTCTCCAAGCTGTGAAAAATGGCATGGCACCATTTTGTGATGGTGAAATGTGCAGTAAGTTCCTTTGATTATGGAAAAAAAAAAAAAAAAAAAAAAAAAAAAAAAAAAAAAAAAAAAAAAAAAAAAAAAAAAATAGAGACCCCAAAATGCTCTGCTCTCAACTGTGCCGGAAGCAGGGACTGGCTGACCTGTGCTTGCAGCATTCCAGCTTCTGACTCAGAGCAGTGAGAGAGGCTGTCACACACCAGCCATGCTGGCTCTCATCCCAGCACGGGGCACAGCATCAGGAAAAGTGAAAAGTGCAGGGAGCAGCCAGGATGTGGGACAGGCAGGGTGGGGGGAGCAGGCAGGTCCAGCCTGCCCATGGGATCTCAGGTGGGTGCGTGGGTGCTGCTCCCGTGCTCTGTTTGCCTCCAGCCAACACAGGAATCTCCTCCTCCGTTCCCATGTCTCTGCTGTGATGTGGGGAGTGAGGGGGAGCCAACTTCCTAGAGCTTGCACCCTCTCAAAATCCCATTGTACCACTCCCAGCCAGGGCAAGGGAGGAGCTGGAGCAGAGCTGAGGGGGCAGCAGTCTGTGGATTGAGTTTGGCTAAGGCTGTAGGTAACTGGCTGCTGATTAGAGTTCATTTGCTAGTGTACACTCATTTTGGGACCATTTTGCCCATGCACAGCATGAAATAGGTAGATGTGCTGCAGAAATATTAATTGATAAGAACTGCAGATGTGCTCTCTGCTTTTTGAGAGTGCTTCAGGTCACAACATGACATGCTGTGCATGAAATAAGCTGCACTGGCAGCACAGTCAAATTTGGATGTCACTTTATTGTGCTGTTTCTGATATTATGAACAGTGTTCAAAGAGCCATTTGTGAGGATTTGGATGCATTAGCCCTGTTAAAGGGAATGAAATTTGCACACATCCTGGGGACACAGCATGGGCCTTACATGCTCTTTATTCCACACTGAAGTGGAGAAGAACCTGGGTGAGTGCTGCCTATTCAAACAAGGACGATTTTGTTTGTGGGTGTCCTGTTTTCTCCTGGCTCCCCTGACAACAGCTGATTTAACTGTTTTGGTGCTGCTCTTGCTTTAATAAATCAGTCCATAAATTGATAAATTAATTTTTTAAAACTCCCTTTTTAGAAAAGAT